GACATGGCTATGCAATAGTTGATGTCTCATCTCATAAGTTTTCCCAGTTAAAGGTCCAATTAATGTCTAAATTGTCTCTTTTAGAAATACTAACCTCATCATGTAAAGCACTGGTTCTTAATCTTGGGTTACTCAGGAGTTTTGGACTGCAACTCCCAGAAGCCTTCACCACCAGCTGTCCTGACAGGGGTTTCTGGGAGTTGCAGTTCAAAAACATCGGAGTAACAAAGGTTAAGAACCACTGATGTAAAGTCTCTAACTGCACTTGCTGCCCTAACCGTGGGCGCAAGGATGTCCAGACATTGGTTACAAACGGATTTAACTCCTCAAAGTCCCATGATCCAGATAAAACCTTCTCTGGTGCGGGCTATTCTTGTTCTTCTTCTTCCAACGCTAGAAACGGTAAGGTTTCCTCATCCCCGGTCCATCCCCAGAGTGGTGATCCTTCTCCCAGACTGGCCAGCCACGGTCCGGGAAGAAACCCATCTTCTGGAGTTCTGCAAGATGTCATGATTTTTTTGGCCTCAAGCTCCCTCGCCACCACCTCTCGTTCTTCCCTTATGCGACGTCTCCACTCCTTTGCCTCCGTCTCTCCCCAATAAGAAGGACGTGGTCGTTGACCTTGTCGCCTCTGCCTTGCCGCCTCTTCATGGGGAACCTTCACTTGTTCTCATCCTGGACCCAAACCTTTTCCCAATCACCCGGGATCTCTTGACCCTCTTATATCACCCATTCCCGCCTCTACCAACCATTCCCCTTTTCCTGCCAAATCTTCCCCTGTTTGGATTGCCACGTTTAACCCCTTCACTCCTACGACCAGGTCGTGTGTGTCTACTCCCTGATGTCTCTGTCCCTTTCTGTTCTTAATATCCTCTAACTCCTGGGTATCCACCGTTTTATTCTCTTTCCTAGGAGGAGAAGACAGGGGGGGATGTCTAAGTCTCCTTAGCACAAGTAGGGAGCGGTGGCACTCCTATGAAAGCTTCCTGGCCCTGGCCTGGGGTCTCACATAGAGCTGCAGAACAACACCATAAAACAAGTGGCAGAACTGACTAGAACAAAAGCATTACTAAAATTAAACATCAGCAAGGGATGGGGAGAGACTCTGGAATTCTGTCTACAATCATTCCTGCCTTCCTCTCTCCTGCCATGTAATTTTTGAAAAACAGGACACAAAGAAATACAAAGCATTTGTTCAAATGAGGAAAATGGGGACACAGCAAGGACCGGAGGCTCTAGGACACTCTCAACCTCCCCTCATATTTCTAGTGGACCTTCAAGAAGGCAAGAAAGGAAGAGAGTAGTATTACTTATTTTTATTTTTTAAATGAGGGTGTAGAGAAATATGGAAAAAATAGCAATGTTTGATTTTCCCCAAACGCTGTCTATATTACCCACTGTTTTTCAAAAGGAAAACCAGTGACAAACAGGGGAGGGATAAAATACGGTAAAGATTGGCAGATGCCCCTGGCATTATCCATCCAATGTTTTCTGGAATGTTAGGTTTTAAAATATAGAAAAACAACAACAACAACAACACTAACCAACTAAATAGGAAAAACAGAGGAAAATGAAAGAAATAGTAGCCACATAGTGTTTCCAGGATACTTACAAGAGAGAGAGAGAGAGAGAGAGAGATTCTTAATTAATATTTCAAGCAAATAAAACATGTCTACTTGCTCAGTCACCTGACTTAAATTATCTTAGTTTCAACTGCTGCATAGCTGAGTGGTTTAGGCCTCTGGCTGCAGAGCCAGAAGTTGGGAGTTCGATCCCCCACCGGGCCTCCTTGACAGGGGCTGGACTGGATGATCCATAGGATCCCTTCTAGTTCTTCAGTTCTAAGATTTTTATTATTGGCTATGTGTGATATCCATGGCTGCCTTGAGTACCGTCAGGTACTTTGCAGTAACATATATATGTATTGTGAGGAAGCTACTGAAAGAGAGTGGGCCACAACTTTAATCAGTCCAGCCCACATAACAGAGGTCTGATCTGCAGAAAACTAGCCGCTGTTGCACTGGGAGACCAAGTGACTGGACTGGAGGCTGGGTGGAGGCAACAAAGGGGCAGTGTGCTGCCATCTGCAGAAAGAAACTGGCTACCCTGCTAGGTGAACACCACCTCAAAGTGCTTCTGCAAGCAAACTGCTGCACATGGTAAGGCACTTTACAAGTGGCTTACTATGCAGACACATCCACATTATGCTGTGTATATCTGTGCTGCAGCCAAGTATCCTTCATAATAGGAAGGTACAGCCCTGCGAAAAGCCACAGGGAATAAGCTGATCCATGAGGCATGTTCATGTACCCAGAAGGCTCAGGATACTTAAAAGCAAACAGGGATGGCGGTTTCAGTCATGGTCTAGAAATAGTAAGGCTGCTTCTCGTAAGAGATGGTTTTTTATAAATCAAATTTATTTAAATCACAATTAAAATTTAAAAAAATTAATTCTTTTTTAAAAAACCCTCAAATGTTTAGATTTAAATCCTGATATAAATCAAATCCATCCTGATTTAAAATCAGACTTGATAGGACTGAGACAACAGAAGAGTTTACTATAAGCAAACCCTACTGCTCCCACTTTTATAATTAATTCTTCCACACAGAGACCTAGGCCAGCAGTTCCCAACTTTGCGTTAACCCAGGCGTTCTTGGACTGCAACTCCCAGAAGCTTTCGCCACCAGCTGTGCTGACCGAAGTTTCCGAGAGTTGCAGTCCAAGAAGACCTGGGTTCCCCGACGCTGGGAACCACTGGACTTGACTAACCGTTCCCACTTTCAAAAAGAAAAGGGGGGGGGAGAATTTTATTTATTTATTTATTTATTTATTTATTTATTTATTTATTTATTTATTTATTTATTTATTTATTTATACCCCACCTACCTGGTCATTGCGACCACTCTAGGCGGCTAAATGCCGCCATTTTGGTCAACAGGAGATAAAAAAATTCATGACCTCTTTTATAGATTTGGGAAATGCCCTGCCAGCAGTGTCCCTGGGAAGTACTACTGGGTGCTGAAAACAGTATTTTTCAAAAAAGACACTCTGTTATATAAAAAGATGGGAGAACTGAAAGCCAGCAAGGTGGAAAAGGGCTGCAAGGAAAGGAAAGACAAGGACATCTTGGGCAATCTTTTCCAGGGTGCATTTGGTTGGAATGAAGAGGCACCGAAAGTCAAAGTAAAATCTATTCTGCACAAATGGCTGCCTTTTACCCTTTAATTTAGGCACATCCAGTCATAGGCAAAGGGTCTATTTCCCCCCCCCCGCGTCTCTGCTCTCAGTTCTCCTCAGTTTCTGCAAGAGTTTGGACCGGTGGAAGAATCCCGCTTCCATCCTCCCCCAGGCTTCAAAGGATGGATTCCCTTTCTTGGCTGCTAACTTGAGCAGGACATGTTGGACGAGCAAGCCCCCAGCGAGGGTCACATCCTGTGCAGGCATCCCTTTCTCAGGCTTGGCAGAAGCGGCCGGACTCTTCCTGCTGCCGGGAGCTTCCAATAAAGCCTCCACTTGGCCGAGAGCAACGACTGCAGCAAATGGGGAATAAATTATGCAACTCAATGGCCACAAAGTGCAACTGTGAGGGAGGGGCGGGGAGAGGTTGGCGCGCGCGGAGGGGGGAGAGAGAGACAAGGGAGGCTCTGGCTTCCTCAGCCCCCGTCCTTTAACGTCTCCTAGGTCTGTCGTAGCCGCGACGTGCAAAATAAAACAATAATAAATGGATTAATTAACACCTACCCTTGCTCACTGACGAACTCCTACAAGTGGCTCCCCCACAGGGCAGATGCCCAAACTTCTCCACTGCTACTGCTACCGTGTCCCTCCTCCCAGCAGCCGCCAAGTCGCATCCTGCAAGAGTGTGCATTTGCAACGCAAAAAAACACAAGCCAGGAAAACGGTCCGCAACTGGCTCGCCTTCCCATTTAAACACGCGCGCACACACACACACACACACACACACACGACCGGCCTTGGCTACTATACGCGTTCCTCCTTGGAGCACGCCTCGCGAAAAGTTTGAATGGGACACGGCACGGCACGCTTCGTTTGATTCCGTGTCAAATCATCCTCCCTCCCACGTTTGCCAGCCTTGAAACCTATTCACAGACTGAGAAGAGAGAACTCTCTGTAATCCTTTATTTGAAGAGAGAGGGACAGACCTCCTGCGATTCCCACGTACACGCATCAAAAGCGAAGAGCTCCAAGTTCCGGCACAAGAAAATGCACGGCTGCCTTGCGTAACTTTCTCAAATCTAGTCCTCAAACCACACACACACACACACAGACACACACGGCTTGCGACGGAGAAGGGCGGGGGGGGCGAGTCGAGTCTGTGGAAAATGAGCTCAGCACTGGCACCAGAACAATACTTTCCCATAGAAACAGAGGCATATATTTAATTCTTGGTCACGCCACTCAAGTTTCGCCTTCCATTTCCTCCAAAGACTTTTCTTTAAAACAAAAACCACACACAGAGAGAGACACAAGAGTTTGATTTAAAAATTTGCAGGCTACATTGTAGGCTACTGCAGATTCGTCGGCAGCTGGCCTTCGTTTCTTTTTGTGTGTGTGGTTTTTATTTTTTGCGGGGACAAAAAAAAAGAGAGACGTGCACGGCCAGCTCATGCATAAGCTCTCCAACACCCTTTATCTGTCCTGACTGTGCAAAAGGCAAAAAGAGCTCAGTAATCCCAGCAGAAGAATGCAAATAACGTCAATGCACAGCTGAACTACAAGCCCTGCCTTACAGGAACTGAGTGTGCGTGTGTGTCTGTCTGTGTGTGTGTGCGCGCGCGCGCGCGCGAGTGTGCGCCTGCAAGGGGGGGGGAAAGAGCACACACTAAACAGGAAATGCAACTGAGAACTATTCAGAACCTGCAACTTCAAAATGCAATTGCATCCCGAAAATATGCATGCATGCATGCACGCGTGCAATTCCAAATGCACGAGCGACTCTTTGCATATCTGCAAGGAACACACACATCGGGAGCCTTACCTCTCTGCTGAGACATTTTTCCCCTCTGCTTTGATGGGGGAGGGGAACACAAAAGACTTTGCCTTCTCTCTTCTGTAGCTAGTTTTGCAACAAAGATGCAAACTGCAGCCGCTCACTCTTCATGCAGCTGGAGTTTTTCTCACTTCCTGCAGCAGATCTCCTTGCAGAGGAAGGCGCTGCAATTGCACGGCTTGCAAAGCGGCTTGCAAAGTGGGCTTGCTCCGCTATTGCAATGGTAAGGAAGGCTCTGCTGCACCTACATGATGGGCCAGGACTGGCAGCTAAAAGCTCCAAACTTGGATCCGACGGTCTTAGTGCGCAGACGTCCTCTCTACGACCCGCGCGTTGACTCCTGGGTAATGTAGTTACATCCCCTGAGTAGTCCATCGAGGGTTCCTCTCGGGAGGCTCGGTTGCCTTTGATGCTCGAGGAAGTGAGGACGGAACCACCCGGCGGAGCTTTCTTCTTCTAGGAGGGAAGGGCTCGTGGAGGATCATAACTCTCTCTGAAATTGCAAAGGAGGAGCTGGGCAGAGGGGGCCTCGTGGGGGGCCTTGTGCTCAGGAATCGCAGGGGATGCCGAGCGAGATGGGCCCCTCCACCCCACCCCGGGCTTTGCAAGCAGGCACGCGGCGAGAATTCGTGTCCGTTGGCCGTTTCATAACACGGGGCGAATTGCCCTGCTCGCTCGGGGTAGGCGGGCCGGCCCATAAAGGTGTATTGTCTGTACAGCCTGACTCCGCCTCCGAACTTTCGCTCGTCGGTTACCC